ACTACAGGTTTGCAATGCAAGAGCCCCCACTTCACTTCCAACTATTCTTTCATACCGTTTGAGTAAATTTTCTGATACTGGTTCAATGTTCAATGATGAGAGCAATGAGTTGAACTGGGTTCTTCCTATTCCACTGTCGATTATGCCTAATTGCGACATTTACGACATATAAGTGGAGTTTGTTTGTCATCTAAAAACAATTATCCAAAAAAAAAAATTAAAAAAATTTTAACTACCCATGGCTGCTTTAGCGTTGACAGTCAACAAACGATGGCTTTCTCCAAAAGATGAGCTAGTGTTTACAGCTTTTTGGAAAGGACACTGACAGCATTGAACAGTGTAGGTATGCCCTAATCTTTTTTGTATCTTTTCTGTAGCAAAGTCTAAAGAAAGTGGAATATTGCATCTGCTGCGCCGCGTTTGTTTTGAAAAATATGTAGATTCAATCACTTCTCTTTCTCCAGAACACATATTTTTCTCATTAACAGCTTGAGAATCCTAAAATTAAATAAGATATGCACAAAATTATTGTATTTACAATTAACATCACTTAATACGTCTCCATTTCATATTTCATCCGAAAATTAACTTTACAAACATACCTGGTATAACCTCTTGAGTGCCTTTTTTTTCTCATATTTTGTTACATACTTTTTTTTTATGATCTTGCCTTTCCTCCATCCTCTTGAGACTCTATGTGCGTGGTATTCTTTTTTTTTAGGTGGATTAGAAGGATCGTCATCCATTGTTTATCAATTACATGATGTTAATGACATACAGATACTAAACACTATTGAGATAGAGCAATAGCAGAAAGGTATGCAAACACGACGTATATATACCATATACCTATATATTACATGGCTATACTACACCAACACAGCTGGTGTACCACTGCACCGGCCTGGCCCTCGTATACACTAGACTGGTCAAAACAATAATTAATTTTTCGTACAAAGTTAAACTACACACATAAATATCATTTTTCCCACTTCATACGTTATTAAAAATATCATAATGATTTTCAGACACATTTGTTTATTGAAAAACAAAACTTTATTTTTTGTTTGTCTTTGACCTCAGCAGTAGTCGTAGGAGCCCCCTTAAGTGCGTCTTAAGTACAGACTGATAGCTGCTCAAGTTTATCAATTAATTATTTTTAATACAAGTTTTTGTTATTTGTATTATTACTGTTTATAATTTTATTTTTAAAACTTATAATATATTTACTATCATATTTATGATCATTATCATCATCATTATTAACAATTTTATTTTATATGATGCTTATAGGAAAAATGATCTGACAAACATATCTTGGCTCAACTAAATAACTTTTTCATTCAGTTATTTATCCATTTTACGTTTCTGATAGTTAGCCTTTGACCTACTTTTAATAACTTTACAGCTACACGTTTCTACTAATTTCATCATATCTGAGTGCCATCTCTCACCCACTGATTATCCCTTCAAAATTTGTTTACCGACCTTCAGGTTCGTTGCTATGTTGCCGCGATCGATGACAACGCACTTGATAGCAGCCCACGTCATTGAAATTTTCGTTTGAAATACGCTGAAATTGAGCACTTTTGTAATTTCATTTACCTAACAAATAATTGTCAAAAACTTATTCTGTAAGTGGATTTTGACTCAGAAAAAGCTGCTCTACACGCCAGTTCCCACTCCCCAAGTACTTTCGAATATCCCGGTATATGACATAAGCAAAAGTATAAAAACTAGTCGTATGAAATACTCTATTATGCTACTAAAATATGTTAAAAATTTTTTTTGTTGTTTTTTTAACTTATTTCTTAAAAAACCCACAAGCAGTTTAAAAAAATGTATTTATTTTGTAAGAAAAAAATTAGAAATTCTATACACCACCTCATTTAAACGTTTAAAGCACGTTTTGAAGCATGGAAAATTTGTGTGTTCTATTTTGACCTTTACTTTGTAAAAAGAGATAATTCCTAAGCGATCGTTAAATAATGGCATCAATTACGATTTTTTAATATTTTAAGTTGGTACACTGTGAAAAAAATCCCTTAAAGACTTTTATGAGTGGTTAATAAACTTTTTTGACTTATCTATAAGAAGTGCTTGGTGCAACCTTTTTTAGGCTGCAGTTATATGTCGTAGAAATAGCCAGTAGAACGTCACAACGTTTAAAAAAAAAGTTATCTCTTCATCGGTTTTATTTGTAACGCCATTTTTTTTTCCCTCAGTGAGAAGTGAGCATCATGAACATAAAACGTAACAAAGCGAAGCGGAACGGCGCACAGTGGGCAAAAATGGGTTTTTTCGTTCCGAAATCGTAGAACTTGCGAACGGAAATAGATAGATTCATAATTCTTTTTGGATGTTGTAGTTCACTTAATGCAGAATATAGGAAAATAATAGGGGAGTATAACATACATTGTTCTAACCTCAAAAAAAAGTCCGATTCTTAGTTATTTTCCTGAACAATCAAGAAACAGGCTCAAAAAAAAAAGTAACAACTGAAAAACATGTAAAAGTAAATACATTGATGCCATTATACCCGAATACCAATTTTATACTGATTTTATTTCTTATACTGACTCATCATAACATCAATACACGCATGAAATGAAAATATGCTACTATATTTAAGAAATCATTGTAAATCGTCCTAAAAAAATTAACCTATGAATTATTTTTCCAGATACAAACATAAATCCCAGAACAAACCACTGTAGAATCGGAATTTATATTATTTTCCTGTTTTATAACCTCAAAAATTATTAAAACTTATGTTAGGAAAAAAAGGAAATTTTCTCCTATATTTAAAAATATTGCCTTACTGTAAAAAAATTTTTTTTAAACAATACCTATTTATGCAGCAAAGAAGAGAGCGATATCTACAACAATAGTGAATGTGACGTCGATGAATTAGAATCATTTAACGAGTGTGATGAGAGTGATGATGAAATGTGTATATAATAAAAACGCTGGATAATTAGATAATCAAAAACCTGTTTTTTAATAATTTTTGAGGTCATAAAACAGGAAAATAAAATAAATTCTGATTTTACAGTGGTTTGTTCCGGGATTTATGTTTGTATCTGGAAAAATAATTCATGTGTTAATTTTTTTAGGACGATTTTGATGATTTTTTAAACATAGTAGCATATTTTCATTTCATGCGTGTATTGAGGTTATGTTGAGTCAGTATAAGAAATAAAATCAGTATAAAATTAATATTCGGGTATAATGGCATCAATGTATTTACTTTTACATGTTTTTCGGTTGTTACTTTTTTTTTAAGCCTGTTTCTTGACTTTTCTGGAAAATAACCAAGAATCGGACTTTTTTTGAGATTAGAACAAAGTATGTTATACAAAGTATGTATATATATATATGTATATACATATATAAAGTATATGATAAGTATGTTAATTTTCCTATATTCTGCATTAAGTAAACTGCAACATCTAAAGAGAATTATCAATCTATCTATTTCCGTTCGCGAGTTCTACGATTTTGGAACGAAAAAACCCGTTTTTGCCCACTGTGCGGAGAAAGCTGACTGAATAATAATATATTTTTCTTTGTTGATTATTATTAACATTTTCAAATGTTTGATCATCATTATTGCTGTGATAGTTATGTTTCTATCGAAATATTTTATAGGTAGGAATTTATAATTTACATCAAATGCATAACATCAAATGTTTGCTACTAGAAAGTACATATATAATATTTATACCCTTATTGGATGCTGTTATGACCAGGCCTATTTGTTCCACTCTATGGGCACGATGCACACTTTCCACAGCGAAACACGCAATGGCATCATAAAAAAACGGGTAGTGAGGAAACATTATTTCTGACGCTGTAGCGTTCTGATGTCGATTTTCACCCTATGTTAATGCAGTCTAACGTTTGTTTTTATATTAACAATTTGTTTCATATGAATTAAAAAATTTGTTTCCAAACTTGCAGGCAGCTAAAAAGCTGGCAGAAGACTCATTCAGTTATTTTTTAACAAGTTTTTGATAACATGTTATGGAATTATGGATTATAAATTTATATAAGACTGATGTTTTAAGATTTAATTTATTTTTATTATTCGTTTTTTTCTAATTTTTAAACTATACACTAGTTCTTAAGTGTAACTCTATCAAATTAAAGTGACCTAATACATTGACATGGACTTTGATGTGATATATCATCTGATATTTTTTGAGAAAGTCATATCGGTTTCATCCATCACTTTGCGACAGTAGTTTAATTATGTATGTCTATAGCTTTTTACTTGTTAAGATTTATAAGAGTTAAAGTGAATCATCATTATAAGACTGCTTTAAGTCGAGCTCTATTTTTTAAGGCTTCTAGTATGGGCATTATAAGATAATCGAATTTTCTTCGTTATTACAAGCAACAGTACTACCATAAGAACTCTTGCAATATTTTGATTTGTGTAATATTTAAATGAGTTTGAAAATGTTTTTTATAGACATGTGACGATGTTACACAAATCTGTTACGAAACTTACATTGGACGTTTATGTATTAATCATATTCTAACTAGATTTTTAACAACCATACATTACATTTTCAGACGAGCAACGATCTCAATATCACCATTCCATTTATCTTCTTGGAAAATGGACTAAGGATAAGCTTATTATGATATTGAGTTGTAACAAGCAGTATGAAAGAAAACAAGTTGTTGCATCAAATTTTATAAGAGTAATAACATAAAAAAAAAAAATCTCTCACCACACTTTATTATAACATATGAATTACTCCGATAATACCGTATGACCCTGGCATAAATAGAAGCAGTTATTTTGTTGCTAGCTACCAAAGTAGGATATTTAATCTTATTCTTCATTAAAAAATAAGAACACGTAGTCTGCATTTTTTCTACTCTCATTTTGAGCTAAGGTAACACCAGACATATTTATGAGTACGTTCTTGAGTTCACCAACATATGTATTCATGTATGTATGAACTTTTTTTCATGAGTCAACTTACCTCAAAATAGATTATAACAGCTGCTGTAAAAACCCCAGTACTTTGAAGTAAGTCACCAATTACGTGAACAAATGCAGCTCTAACATTTATATTTTTATTTTTCGAAAACGATTGTAAATTTTCCTTAGATTCCAGATAATATCGTATGTTGCCTTTTTCACTGTCAAATATTATTTGAGAGTTATCATCCAACTTTTGATTACTGTGTGTATCGGTATAACCTGGTTCACTGGGTCCATGTTGGTGAAGTGTTAGGCCCATTCTAAAGTACAAAATACTGTATCAAATAAAAAAGATTGTGACTATAAATAATGTAACGTAAATGACGTCCATAATTATTTTATTAAACCAGTAGCCTATATTTTATTTGTTACAATTGTTTGTAATGGTAATTATGTGTAGTGAATGTCAACTATGACAAATCATGTTATGCATGTAATGTAGTTAAATGTTTACACCAGTGAAAATAGAGTATTTAGTAACCATATTTGCTAACGCTTACTTAATGACAGCCTTGTTACATGAATATTCTAAAATATTGACTGACTATTAATAAGTGAGGGCATAAAGTCTCACTTCAAGTAAAAAAGTCAAAGTTTTGGTGAGAGTAAGAAATTAATCATGTGTGTTCATGGGGTATCAGAGAATAAATAGTGTGTTTCTAAACGTCTTTTAATCTTACATTTTAAAAGACCTTTAAATAACTATAGCGAGTTTAACAAATTGTTAACCACCCATATTAACGGCCGTGTGTAAACTATACATCTCGCTCCACACATGTTTCTTGCTGGCCAAAAGACTCGCAGCTTCTTTTTTCTTTGACTTCTATCGGTTATATTTGGGTATTGAATTCTCCCCACGTTGCTTTTTGTCTACACATCACTAATGAAAGTAGCAACTATGGACTACGTATATGAGAATACCTAAAAAATTATCATGTTTCATCTCCAATTTTTGAATGAAGAATTATTTAGGACACATCCTCCAAATGAAGCTCACACTTATTGCAATATAGTTTACTAGAAGAGAAAAATCATAACCGTTGGTTTCAGTAGAGATAACATCGTTTTTTCGTGTATGCCACGATCAAAATATGGATGTATGAGAATAGTAATCTAGCAAGCTCAGATAAAAAGACGCCAGGGAGCAAAGACTCCAGCAAAGAAGGTTGAAGAACATAATTTTAACCTACTACTTATTGCTGACTACGTGCCAAAATATTATTCAGCCTATATGCTTTCGATCTAAAATGAAATATTGTTTCAAGTAATTGGTGGTACAGTCAAACGATTCAAAAACATTTGTTATTGATCATTATAAAACTCCACGAATATTTTTTTACAAAACATATGAATTTAAATTTCAAACTGCCTCTCATTCTTCTCATTGGCTAAAGTCCTTCCTCCCTGCTGCTTTCTCGAGTTTAAACTGTGTCGGTCGCCATATGCGTATGTAGTATACACACATATAATAGTAGGGACCTAAAACTTATAATTCTGTTTCCATGATTGACCAAGCTGTTTAAACGGATCGTGCACCAGAAGACAGTTCAGTACATGGGCAAGAATTACCTATGGAATCTGTTCTAAACTTATGTCTGTTGTAGATACGTACTCAAACTGCTCATGTTAATATCATGAATAGTGCATGACTGGCCCTAGACAAAAGAATAATCATTATTTATAGTTTTTTCGACTTCTCCAAAGCACTTTACGTTATGACTGATTTAAATTATTAGAGCAAATACGTGTGCTTAAGATAAATCAAAGTGTACTTAAGTTACAAGTATCCTATATTATTAACAGGAGACAAACAGTCAGAAGAATGGGTGTGTGCTCTAAAAAATTATGACCATCACTCTGGGTGGGCCTTAGGTAAGCGTTCTAGAACCCTTGGGATTTTTGTTGTATATACACGATTTTTCCTTTGAACTGCGGCAGAGTAATTACGTCATTCATGCTGATAATGTAAAAATCTCCGTGTACTCCTTTTTACGCTACATAAACTTTAGTATACAATAGGCTACGTACAATGCTGGAACAGTGTTTTTTTTGTCTTCTCAATAGTAGGCATAACAGTTCTAAAGACAAAAGTTAGGATAACTTGTAGCCAGCCATATCCCTCTTAAATTCATTACAACAGTGTAATGCTCTTCAAAGATGATAATAAATCAATATCATATGGGACTAAAGCTAAGAATCTTAAAGTTATTATAAATTCAGTCTTGGACAGGCAAAAGGAGTTGTGTATAATGAACCCTGTATTTTTCCCCTCTGCTTTGACAGCTGTTCTTTGTCTTCCTTTCAAAGTGTGTAGCTTGTTAATAGGCTCGTCTTCCTCTACTTTAATTACACATGCGTACATAATAATGTTCTATATAATACAAAGAACCTCTAACTTGAGAAAGAATTGAATATCTATGATGTCTATACTTATTTTAAAGTAGGAAACATCCCAGAAATAAGGCACGTCATGCCCGATACACTGCAGTAATTGGCTATTGGTGCAGAGGCGATGACGTCTCGTTGTACTGGGGTGCGAGTATTTAACGACATTTTTAGACAAACGTGCCTACTATCGTAACATTTTCTTTTTCTAACTGTCATCCTTCCATGGCCCGTTAGCTTATAACAGTTAAACATAGCTTTATTCCTACATTTTTCAGAGTCTTGATCACCTGTGCTCAACTATGAAAATCGTTTCTGTGCTGAGCCTTGAAACTCAAGTACTTTACAGCTGATCACTGAGTCATACTTAATCTGATCAAATAAATCAGTGCTATCCACTATTTAATACAGAAAGGATAAAATCGCCAATCAGTTGAAGGCAAATTAGAAAATAAATTACATACTATTTTTTTTTTTTTTTTCATGGATCCCTTGATGTTAAGTGAGAATGAGAAAAAATATTCTCCCGCGTTGCAGATCAAATACACAACCTTCTATTAACTAGACATTTGCTCTACCACTTGAGCTACTAAAGAGCCGTAAGTTTACTCGCACCGTAAATTTAGGTAAGCTCTCGTTCTTAACTTTTATACTGTTTTTATCTTAAGCCTGATCTCAATAGGTATATAAGAAATTAATTATGATAAGTAAATTAGAAATTGACAGTTCAAAAATTGAAAATAGAAGCTTATCTTACCTTAACCTGCGGTGCACCTGTATTCTATCTATATTAAATAATGGTAGGTGCTGATTTATTTAATTGTATTACTATTTTGAGTCCCCAATTGCAGAGCGACTTGAACACAAGACTATACATTTGTTATCAAAAAAAGGCATAGATGGTTTTGAGAGTGCTTTTATAAAAGTGCTGTCATCTACGTACGTGCCAATTACTGGGATCAGGAACGTTTTAATATTGCTTATATAACTTTTAAATTAATAGTGCATTCCTTTTTTATCTACAAGCGTTACAATTAGTTCTTAATATACCTTTTAAAATCAAGCTTAAAATAAAAACAGCTCAAAAATTAAGAATGTAAGCTTACGTATCTAAGCCTATGGTGCGAGTGGATATACGGCTTCTTGGTAGCTTAAGTGGTAGAGCAACTCTCTAGTAAACAGGATTTTGTGTCTTTGATCCACATTTGAGGAGGATGTTTTCCTTATTCTTATTTAACATTAAGTGATTTACCTAACGAAGAAAATAATACATAATTTATTTTCAAAGTTGACTCCAACTGATTGCTGACTCCATCCTATCTGTACTTATTAATAATCGTGCAAGTTCTTTAATTCTATTAGAGTGCATTAAAAAATAATCCAACTGTGTACTTAACGTCTTTTATTTATTCTGTTGATAAGTTAACAACCAAATTTATAAGTAGAACTAAGCTAGTAAAACAGTTCTACTTCATGCATGTACTGACCTTCAGTGTACTATGTTTCAAATATTAAGAAATGAGTAAATCCTGTTAGAGTTAACATAAAATCGGCATAACATGTATACAAGACCTTTGCAATTTGTTACATGAGACACTGTTTGTAGTCTTTTATGTTAATTATAATGCATGTCCTACGTGGTTGCACCCCTTAGTTTCGTTTATCAATCAAACTATACACCTTTTTGAAGTGAAACTTCTTATGGCACGTTGTAAATTTTTTCAAGCGACATGAAATTTCTGAGCCCCCCACCACTCCACCCACTCTCTCTCTCTCTCTCTCTCTCTGCCGCGTCCCCCTTGCCACCACATGCTATACTAAGAGGCATCCCTACTACTCTAACTCCAGCCGCTCTCTCTCTCTCTCTCTCTCTCTGCTTCGTCCCCCTTGCCACCAGAGCAGTGCTTATACGCGTAGAGTGGGACGTGGGACGGCCTTTCTCTCTGCCTCACTCCCCTTGCTACTACATGCTCAAATTTATATGTGTATATGTATATATATATGTGTGTATATTTATTGTTTTTGACTCTTGATCGCCGTTTGCACCTGCTGGAGAAGAGCGCGTGATAAATTCTTAATGAAACAAGAGTCGACGGAGGGGTTAGGCTAAAAGAGGAGTGAATTATCCCATAGCCTTAACGATGTGGTTTGAACGGTCGGATAGGCATAATCAACTATGCAATAGACGTTTATTATATATGCGCTCATCTTCAATTTAATATGCTTGTTAAAACCATTTATAATATTTTGCAATTTCTCATGGTCTTATTCATCATGAAAACTCTATTATTATTTTTTTCTTAATTTAACTTTGATATGTTATACAATTATTCTTACATGTGATATTTTTCCTATTTCATTCATAAAGTTCCTTTTTGTTTCTGCTCTTTAACTGTAGTCTAAAGGTCTAATACAAGCCCAGAACATATTTTTTATTCTATACGAGTCCCCGAGTACTGAGTGCCCATTTTATTGTTCTTAATTGATTTAAGAATATGTCATAAATAATCCCCTTCTCTGATAAGTTCTTGTATATTACTCTTAAATAATTATTATAGTAAGTATACTATACTTTTACTTTGTACTGTAAGATGAACCTGCACCCCCTCTCACTCCCAACCTCGTAGCTGTCTCTGATGAGAAGCCGTCTCCACTGATCCGACCTATTTATCAACAACTGCAGTGTCATGAGCGGTCGTGCTCTTCCTCTCACCTGGGTGGCCGTTACTATAATTCCGCTCTAATGCTATTCACCGTTGGTCCGATTCAAGCCCTAAACTTAGCAGTGGTTGATGTTCTTGAGTTGCAATCCTTCCTATTAAATACTTAGATAAGTTCAATAAATTATTAATGTATAAATAATCGTAATAGTAAC